AAACAAATAATAAAAAAAATGTGAAAAAAATATTAAAAAAACCAATCTAGCTTAAATTTTTGTCGTAGACTATAGTATCAGTTTGTGCATTCGTTGTTGTTTCAGTGCAAGATTTTTTTAGTTAATTCAAGATTCTCCTTGAACTCTGTGACAGATGCATCGTTTTTGGCCAGTTGAACTGCTTCATTAAAATATTCATGTGCTTTTTGATAATTTCTACATTCATATTCGAGTAGACCATAGTTGTTTAGAACCACGGCTCTATCAATATCGGACCCTACTTCGTTAAGAGCCTTTGCAAAACAATCTCGAGCAGCTTCATACTTGCCTTGTCTCAAGTATATGTGACCTATATTGTTCAATATACGAATTCGAGATGGGATGATATCGTGTGAAAAGAAACATCGTGGAGAATTAAGCGCTTTACTATCCGGTGTTGTTGTCTGTTTAATCAGCTTTTCTGCTTCGCGAAGATGAATAAGTCCATCTATATATTCACCCCGCTCAACCGCTAACATCGCAATATTATGATGGGCATGACCACGAGTTTCTTCTGAGAAGCTCTCGTATTCGGTAATAAGTTGGTAAAAATTTTTGGCATTTGCAGAATCACCGAGTTCCTGCAAAATATTGCCGAGGGTTAAAAATGGACAGTCACCATTTAAATTTTTGATATAAGTGATCAGGTCAGGATCATAATCTTTGCACGATTCAAGTACAATGTACCAACGATTAGGCGTCGTTTCTTCCATAGATTTGATTTTCCATACAAAACCCATGAAAAACAAAATTTCGTTTTCGTCTTTAATAGCACTTAGTCCTGAGACATTTGCATATGGTGTAGTTAACTTCGCCGTGTTATCAATGTTCATCTCAAATATCACGCTCTGATATTCATTTTGAACACCTTCCATCCCGGCAAAACACCTTGCAACATCGCAATGTTCCGTTGTTGAAAGGAGTCCATTCATAGAGATAGGATGTCCGATATTATCTTTTAATTGTTGTAAAATATCAGTGGATAGTTTTTTGCCACGATAGACTTTCTTTATAGTTTGATTCGAATCACATCTTTGTTTATTACCTAAATCTTCTAATTGTTTATGTAGATCAGCCATATAGCAACCAAATCGATAAATACGATCGACATCATAGAGTCGCAATATTTGATTGATAACTCGAAAAAGAAAAGAGGCACGAGTATAATAATATATGGCCTTCGTTGGGTGATAATTGTCTTCAAATTGATCAATCTCCGACGGATTCTCTTTGCAATACATACGACAAAGACCGCACATGTGTTTAAATGCATTTTGATCATAGCGCATTTTGATAAATATTTCAATTAAAGATTGACATAGAAGAAATTTGAGCGATTCTTTGTTTAAATAGCAAAATGAATGTTGTGCAGGTATTGATTTGAATATACCGAACGGTAATGTTGTGTCCTCCATGTCAGTTTCGCTATCGAGCGTTGAATCTTTAACACTCTCGGGTGATAAATTGACTTTATTCAAATCATGAATAATAGTATCAAAACTGGTCTTTATCTTCGAATGCATACATGCGGGATCTAAAGATGTTGAAGATTTCTGATTGACAAATGGTAATTGATAAACTAATAGACATTGTCGACGTCGTTGGGCGATACGTTGGATGTGTTTTGCATCTTTGCTTGTTATAATGAAAATAATATGTTGAACAATTGGAGTTGCAAGATAACCAGCAAAATCTTCTAGACGATGAAATATACGAGAGTAATTGAATGTTTGATGAAGATGTATTTTCATTTGACGTTGCGCATCAATCGAGATGTGTCCATCATAATACCAAATAGTCATTAAATTTGGAATATTTGACGTCATTTTGAACTACACCAATATTTGGAATAATTGAAGAATTAGAAGATTGTTGCCAGAGCGTCACTAGGTGATTTTATCTAGAATGAGTAAGAATGAAAAGATAAAACCATGATAATCACATAAAATTTCTTTTTTAGTTTAGGAATTATTATGAGAAAGTAAGATAGTTTCAATTTTAGCTTGAAAAAACAAACGCAAAGAAACATCGGTAGAAATTTCTAATGCTTGACGATAATAGTTCAATGCTTCTGAATGATTTTCTTGACGATTGTTCAAGTCAGCCAATTTGCTTAGTATGGTCAGTCTGTCGATGGAAGTATGTTGAAGTGGTGATTCATCTTCCATTGACGGCTTTTTCTGTGTAACTGTTGTTGACGAATCTGTAACTTTCAATTTCAATGCCTTTTCAAGCCACTTTAATGCCTCTTGATCATTCTCCTTCATTGAATACATCAAACCCATATTATTGTAGATTGATGCAAGACTTGAATGATCAGTTGGTAGTACTTGCAAAAGGTATTTATAGTATTCTTCAGCAGCATCGAATCGTTTTAGAGCAGCCAAATAATTCCCGAATGTTAACCAAGTGAGATGACCACCAACTTCTAACTTCAATTGATCTTTAATACGTTGCATTGCTCTATCAGCTGATTCGAGTTGAGTTCGCCAAACACCATCAGGTGTTGACTCAGTGGAAACGAATCGAAAGAGTGTTCCAAGACCAAAAACAATCATATCTACATTCAATTCTGTTCTCGGTACATCCTCGGATAAGTTTAGCTCGAACAGGATAACCGTAAGTTGATTGTCCGCTGCTCGACGACAAATACTAGCTATTGTACGAAAAGATCGCGAAGCCAAAATGAATGTTGGTATAGAAAGAAGAGCCTGTGGGCTTGTTTGTATTATTTCTAAATCTTTCTTCGATACTAGTTGAGCTCGATAGACGGTAATAGAAGATGAATCGGAGGTGTTTGTCGGAGCCATTACGCGTTGATTGAACTCTTGTAAATGTGATACAGATTTGTGCAATGTGGAACTATCGAATTGTTTGAAAAGATGATTAATATTCATGTTTGCATCAATAAGAAGAGAAAGGAATCGACTAATATGTTCAGCTTTCTGTTCAGCAGTTGCACCTAACTGTGTTGGTAGTTCTGGAAGAATGTCACTAAATAATTGAAAACAGAGAAAGTTGATTTGTTGTTCATCAGGATTATCAATAATATTGGATTCAATCTGAAAGATATTCATTGTCGGTGTACAAACTCGCATATGTCGATAAAAACAAATATCTCTTGTTAGTTGTTCGAGTAAATCTTCATCTAAACCAAAAACACCGCTAACTTTAGGATGTATTGATATTGTTTCGATTTGTTCATCATAGTCACCATTGGAAATGATATAAACTGCATGAATATTATCCAATTCAAATAATGAGTACATATCATCAGATCCATCGATAGAAATTATTAGAAAAAAATTAATGGAAGTTTCAGTTGTAATTGACCGAATGCATTCATCAAGGTCATTGAATTCGTCGATTTTAATATGACTTTGTGATCGAGAGAATAATCGATGTGTACCGAAAAACAGTGTGACAATGCGCAACATGTTCACGTCTTCTTTGGGCATCTCTTTGATCGATGTTAAAAGATCAGTTTGTGAAGTCTGTAAAGTTAACTCAGTTAATAATGCTTTGGATCTTGACCAACGAGAAGGACGTTGCATAATCGAATCAATATCTCTTTGAATTTTCTCTAATAAAAGACTAATCGATGATCCATTCCCAGTAATTTTTGAATAATCATCTATCCATTTAATATCTTCATCATTTGAATCTTGATAGATATATATTTGTTCAATGCATCTATGTTTGTGTATCAGCGGTACAACAAATTCACCGAGAGTAGCTGACACCACAAAATAAATTAGTTTATCTTTAATTGATAATAGTTTCGATATACAAAGACATTCATCTTCAAATGAATCGATTTCGAAATTTTTACCAGCAGTTGTTTCAAATGATGATAATGGTATGTCCAGAGAGATAACTGTAATATTGATATTTCTTTTGAAAGTTTTTGGTTGCCTTGCTATACCTTTAAAAAAATTAATTTATATCAAGATATGTTTTCTATACATGTTTACCTTGATAGACGAAACTTTCATTGCCATATTCGAGAGTGAGACCAACTAACTCGTTGCAACAGTTGGAAGCAGATTCTATTGTAATGCATTTTATAGGCGTTTGTCGCTATGAAATAAAACAAGAAATATTTCATGATGTGTTCGATCATTATGTTGATCATACTTTGACGAGTTTCACGTGTTCTGTAGAACGTATGGTTGGTTCGAAGCGTTGTTTAGTTGTCGTGACTATTTTGAAAAAGAAAATATTCGTTCACTTAAATCAGCGGACGTACTTGGTTGTTTTGAAGCAGGCGAAGTGTCAGAGACACTCGGCTCTGGAGATTTTACATCTGACCTACAGATAAAACAAATATACAAATAAACGACTCCTAATTCTATAAATTGGACAGGAGGCTAAGTTTCAAATCAAATCATTCTTCGTTAGCATGGTTGCTACTAATCAACAATACTAACAAATATGAAAGATTTGATTTGATATTTAAAAATGGAAAAAGTCTGAGCGGTGATATTTCTGATTCGGTAGATGAGGGTTGGTCAGATATGTAGAGACAAGTGTAGGTTTAGGCTAAGACTTTGAAAATATTCTTTGGGTTTCTTAGAATAGGGACTTGTTGTGCGAAGATTTTCTAAGAGATTAGGAGAAAAAGCTGAGAAAGATAGGCAAACTTAGGCTTTGGTCAAATGGGATAAATTCTAAATTAGGTCAACAGAGTATCATCTCAATATTCAAGGTGGTTTAAATTTTATCATGAAATTGATTGAATGTTGTTGATGGTTTTGTCACGTTTCTTCGAATGCAACGACAGGTTAAATACTTGAACAGTTAATTAAGTATGTCCAAATGGTTGCTGGTTTCTCTATTCCATGCGAAGCGATCGATGAGTTAACCAACATAAAAATATTCTGTACCAAGATCGTTATGAGACAGATGGAGTGGATTCAATTTGAAAAAATTATCTTCTAACAAACAAGTTCTTAGGAAGTCTTGAGAAAAGGGATTAAACTAAGGCTAAGGTAAGGATGGATCAGGAGTGGATACAAGAAAGCTGTCTTAGACTTGGGTAAAAAAATATAAAATAATTTGGTCTAGGTTGGGGGTTCTAAGAGACACTGAACTATATCGATCTTCAGTTTAGATTATTCATATCGTTGGTTTACTCATCACACTACGTCAACACAGATGGAAATCATCAGATCGAATAGTTTAATTGGATGCCATGTGTTTAACAGGTTATAGCAGCATATAATGGACACTGAATACAAGAATGATCTGGAAATCTATACGGAGAAGAGACAAAAAGAAATTTGATGCTGTTGAAAAATAATCTTCATTTGAATAATAGTATCAGGAAAGTGAATTGCCTTTTTTTTTCATCAAAACAAAGATCAAAATACAATATAGTGATATAAAATGCAACGCAATTCGACTCGAGAAATTTCATGAATACCGACGATTGCAACCTCCATCGATGCAATAACAACAGAAAGGAAAGAAAAAGAAGAACACCTTCTGGTTGATGATGTTCGTCTGTGCCT